ATCTCAGGACTACGAATCCAAAGCACTGTCCACTCAGCTGTTAGGCGTCCTACCGCAATCGGGGAAGGGCCCCACGAATACCGTGAGATGCTACAATCACACCTACGCGAAGTCCACCTCCGGAGGCCCGAACGTCCTGAGGTGGACTTCACGTAGGTGTGATTGTAGCGTCTCATGTCCCTCCCTCCCTCCCCCCCCCCCGAAATGTGAACTGCCAGGAGAACCAAACCCGGAAAATTCAGTTGATGAGTCACCTGAAGCGACCTGTCCCAAGCCAAGGACAGCATTGAACCCCCCACAGTACAGAGAGGAACCACCGGGGTACAGTCCGACTGGAGCTCAATCGTCGATCCACAAGCAACCCGTATCCTCCAGAGGGACACCCACACAGCCACGAACTCCCACACCGTGCAGCGAGCCCAACGGAAGGACAGACCCAATCGCCCCTGGCCGGCCAGGTAAGCACTGATCACAAAGTCCCAGCCAAGAAACGATGCGTCCGAGAACACATCGAGCGAGGGCTCGGGTAGGCACCAAAGCACTGAACCCCGAAACCCGAAGAGGAAGCCAGCAATACAGCAACTAACACAATGCCCTCAGAGGCCAAACCCAGCGGTTGCGAGGCAAAACGTCCCCAACGGAACCCTGAATAGCCGACGAAGCCACACCCGACCCAGCTGATAGACCATCATGACAAAGATCAGGCTCCCTCACAACCATCGAGCCCCTCGGGAACGACCAACACAGGAAGAGAGGCAAAGCAGAGCAGCCGAAGGAAGAGACAAGGAAGCGGTCCGAGAGTCCCACACAAGAACAGACCCGAGAGGGAACCAGACGGGAATTCCTCCAGTTCACCAATAACCCAAACCCGGCGAGCTGGGAAAGAACCAAAACCCTGGCGAGCAGACACGTGGATTAGAGAGCCCATCGTCGAGGTAAGTCAGAACCTGAACACCTATCAGACGCAAGCCGGCCACCACGACGCGAGTAAGGCATGTGAAAACGCGAGGGGCCAGATACAAACTAAATGGAGACAAAGAAAACGGTAACCCTGACATCCCCACAACAAAACTGAGCCAGTCCCAGTCCGAGGATGAATCGGGAAATGCCAAGATGCGTCCGTGAGGTCCAGGGACACCATCCAAGTGTCCGGATCCTACCAAAGGCAGACCTGTGACAGTGAAGCCATCTGAAGAAGAGGCAAAAACCCATGGACCAGACACGACATTTCCAGAATGAACCGGAGGACCGCGCAGTCCCATGTTGGGACCAGAACAGGCTGGAAACCCCCAGGGGAACGAGGTCATATTGACCACGCCCAAACAAACCACTTCGACAAAAACCTAACAGAGTGAAGAAGAAGAGGCCCGTGAAATAAAGGCCCTAAAGATAAAGAGGGAGCAACCAACCAAAGACAGACCCCCACCCCCCACCTGGCAGGGAAAAAAAGAAAAAAAGAAAAACCCTGGAAGGGGACAACGTACCCAGGTGGAACAAAGTCGACCGCTAAAATAGATAACCAGCAAACAAGGGCAACAAAACCCCAGCTGACTCCATGGGCGGCCAAGTACCGAGCATTTGTAAAAGACAGTGGAGGTAGACCCCAAGGTGACTTGTGAAAGGTGGCCCCAAGGGCAGTACTAACTGGGCACCTTAGGAAGGAAACCCTAGGCGTATGCAGCCCGAGTACCGTAGAATAATATCCCTGGCTTTCACACCACCTGTAGACAGACCAGCCACAAGATATGGAAATTGAAACCAAAGCAGGAGCCAGAGGCACACGAACTGCAAGTATCACATCAGTCGAGAATTGGTGGGTGGATCGCCGGTGTGAGGGTCTGGGGCTCCCCTTCCATCTCCCAGGGAGAGTGGGGGGGGGGGGTTGCACAGGCAGTGGTGCAGCGGCATGATGACATCATGCTCATTTTCATTTGGGGAGTTCTGTCCACTTGTTCGGCTTTTGGTAGCAATTTTTCACCAGAATAGGGGTTTGTTTTTGGGGTGCCTACCTTTCTGGGTGCCAGACCCAGTCGATGGCAGACATAGAATGCTCCCAACCACATGGGGGTTTCTATAGGCCATTGCTTGTCACTGAGGGGGCCAGGTTCTGGCTCGTGGTCCCTGGTAGGCAAGAACTCCATGCACATTGACTGATACAGAAAGTTATACATATCCATATCAGCCTGGATAGCTCCATGGAGCCAATGAGGCTCCCCCCTAGAAATGGCAAATAAAAAATAAATAAATAAATTTATATATATTATATATACAGTAAGTATATAAATAAATAAATGCACCAAGCCTGGAGATCTATTTAGCGCAGTGTTTCGGAACAGTCAAAAGGTTCTGAATACCTGGAAAAGGTGTGTGCATGTTGTCCATCAACAGAATTTTAATGATACAAATAATTTTATAACAGCCAATCAAGGAAATAGTATTCTTGGTTCCCCTATACCAGCCATCTCAAAACAATGTATTGTGGAATATTCTTAAATATTCTATAAATAAATAATAATAAATAAATGCAAATCCTGTGGGGAAAAGTGATAATTATCAAAAGGCACCAAACTGGGAGGGAAAGTGATAAGTGGTAGTCAGCACGTGGTATAACTGGATATCATCATCTCTTGGTAATAAACATCCACATAACATCAGAATGATGTACATTTGCAACCTTCATTCATCTAACTATATGGGACCAAACACTTTACAGTAATTGGAGACGATTTCAGGAAGAATTTATATTTGACTTCAAATGTTTATACAGTACTCATTCAGAGAAATAATTGTTTTGAGTGATAGTTGGCCAAGGTGATCTTTGAGTGGTCCCCCTGATAAGCGATGTTCATATTGTGATCCAATAAAAAATTACTATTTTTTTAAAGTACTTTTCGGTAATTGAGATGGACGACATGTTTCAGCATTATTGAAAACTTTACTGAATACAGACAACTCATTTTAGCGCCGTCAGAATGTTAAAGTGATAAAGTTATAAAAGCTACCATCCATAAAATTTTTTTCAAGCTATTGGCTAATTTCAACTTATGATATGATGAGCAATTACCAACACATGTCTGCCAAGAGCTTTAACCACATTGAAAGTCAAAAATTAAAGGGAAAGTAAAAAATTGAGTTTGGTAGCAGGATGCTGCTTCTGGAACCTTTCCTTTTTAAGCCTGCTCATAGCCCAGTTGAGAGCGCGTCGGCCTTTCACGCGTGTGGTCCATGGTTCGCTTATTTCTTACTTGTTATTATGTCAAAGCCTCAAAACCCAATTTTCAAAGACAACAGGGGCCCATAACTGGATGAACAAAATCCATTATTTTTGGTTAAGAATGTCCTAGAAGTTTGTGGAGCTTAAACTGGTAAAAAGACCAAGAGGATCTAACATACAGTACAGTACTTTGCTGCATAAGGTGGAGGCCAAGAGCAGTTAACACTTTCGCTGCCGGATGACGCTAATTCAGTCACAGAACCAAAATACGGAGTATGCCCGATGATCCAAATGGAGTCAATACTGTAATTTAATTTTGTTTTTAAATTCCATTTATTTTCAAATTACTATGGGATCTTTTTTTTTAAATGCACACAAACTTCTTCCCATTCTCCGTATACCTCACGTGGCATCCTGACCCCACTGTGTGGGCGCCCACCCACGCTGGAGGCTCCCTGTTCTCGCGCCCTCGCTCGTGACAGATACGGCCTTCCCTCAGTCTTACCCATTTCCAGTTATCACCCAATCCAGTTATTTTATTTCAGGTATTTGTTGTTACCACCTTTATAAACACTGCAAATTGACTTCCAGATAATACTGATCAAGAACACCACCAATCCACGATGAAAGCATTGAAAGAAACATGCATGAAGGAAAATTTAAGTTTTTGTTGAAAGTATAAAAAGGCGAGACTGTTCTAACCTGCAAATATATATTGTAATATCTAATATAAATTTGATACCAATTTGAATGACATAGCATGAAAACTAAGGTAAGAAAGCTGAAAAAGAGAATAAACATTGAAGTGGCGAGCTCTCGGGCAACCTTGTGGTGCACGGTAGGTCCAAATTATAGGAAAGTCAGACTTATTTATATGTTCTTATATGTAGATCTCCCTTTTCCACATTCTATTGCGAACAATTTGATAACAAATTAAACAACGTAGCACGAAAATTAAGATCAGAAAGCTAAATGGAATATAAAAAAATTTTGTATGGTGGTGGACCTGCCTACCTTGCGGTGCACGGCAGGTCTAAAGAATACAAAAGTGAGACTTCTATGTTCCTTTATGCAATTATTAGAGTACTGTATTCTATTGCGCACAATTTGATACCAAATTGAACGACATAGCGTGGCAATTGAGGTCAGAAAGCTATAGAGTATAAACATTTGTGGGTGGTGGCGAGTTCACACCACACCGCTCAGCCGACCTTGAGGTGCGCGGCGGGTCACGCGGCGGGCAGCAAAAGTGTTAAGTGAATAGCAATAAAACCTTGGTGTGACGAGAAAAAATTGTGAAGATTGAACAGAAAAAGTGAAAGAGGCAAAAGGAGAAACAGTAAAGAGCATAATTCGGAAAACACAAAAGGTCCTTTAAAAAGCAGAAGGGTCACAGACTGGTAAATAGGCATGTTAAAAATTGACATGGGAGAATGCTCAATAGTGGAGAGATTAGATGTACATGGAGAATATATTGAAACTAAATGTTTAGAGGTGATAATGGTAATGTGAACATAATTTGATGAGTAAAGGAAAGTGCAGGATCAGACTACAACCGATATACTTATAGCAGAAGCGAGAATATCAGTGAAGGTGAATTGTGGGAAAACGTGAGGCATATGCACAAGTTATTAATGTTCTATGAAGAAAGGATTGTAGTAAATTTTTGGAATTGGCACGAAAACATGAATTAGTAGTCATATGTAAAAGGAGTGTTAAAATACACTGACTGAAGGGAGAAGGGTAAAGAGAAACTAAGGGGGAGGGGGAGTAGAGAAACAAATGCTAGACATCATATGCAGAGATACTGACCTAAGGCCAATAGTAATTTATTTAAATCACAACATAATTTGAATATAAAAGCTAGCTTCTATTAAGGTTATGATGGAAATTTATAAATATGGCATGTTTCAAAAACATTCATTGCACGAATAAAAAAAATAGTAAAAGAAAATAGTAAAGGGATAGTAAACATTCTTTTACTATTTTAGTTAACATGTATATAATAAGAGAAAGCATAATGGCTTGTGCCAAACTTAAAGAAAAAATTGAAACAGACCAATTGGAACATTTTCTGGCATCACAGAGCATGGAGTTCTACAGCAAATGTGCTTATTAACCCTTAGACCGTGCATATTGGGGCTACATTAGCAAAAAATATTCAAATTATGTAAAAAAAATTAAAAATTTTAAACAAATCTCCTTATTGGCTTCAGTGTCTTGAAACTTTCATCAAAATATTTTCAGAAATAGATTTTAGACGAATTGTTAAAAAATAAGAACGTTTTGTTGATAAGGAGAACAGTTCCTAATAACTGGAACTGAAGGATTCCAATGCTCAAAGAAGAAGAATAGTAAGAAGTGTCGACAAGTGGATATGTAGTTGGTGCCTTTGTATCATTGCCGAGCAATACATAATAACACAAATAATAATAAAAAACTATGTTAATATGCTCTATTTTGTAATATATCATATAAATACACTGTCCAATGTTAATATATGTTATTTTCATCAATGTTCCAAAAATATTTTTTTAGGAAAATTTTTTTTGCAAGATTTTAGCTTTTTTCTCGTTCGTTTTTTATCTGATTTTGGTGTAACCTTTCCATTCCTAGAGAATACATGTTTTCCTAACTATGTGAAGATAGAATGAAATTGGTCGACAAATAAATCGGTCAACTCGCAAAACTTGGGACTTTTTGCCGCATGTTTCAAATGCCCTTTTGACGATTTTTTTTTAACAGTAAACTATACTGAAATCCTATATTCTAATTTGATGAAAATGAAGGTCTTATGCTATTCTGAGAGAATAACAATATTAAATGAACAATTGGTGAGAGTTCATATTTTTTAATCTGAATTGTAAATCTGAAGTTTTCAATACGTATTCAATTTTAAAATTTATTTTGATTCTCTTTGTTTTTCAAGTTACGCTGTGATCATTTAGACAAAGTTGGAGCATTTGCCTAGTTGATTATGCCCAAAAAAATTGGAAAGTGTTTGTGCAAGTTTTAAAAACTTATGTTAAGTTATTTTAAGTTGAATCATTTATGTATGTATTGAACGGTCTAAGGGTTGTTTAAATATCACTTTTCTTAAAAATATTACCAAGGTACACATCTTATCAAAATAGTGTCACTACTTACTGATCATCACTAAGTATGTCAAGAAATGTTTCCTCTTAAATGTTTTAAGATTTATATTCTTGTATGGCATTTAGCATTCAGAACATAAGTAGGTTTACTCTGACATGTTAAAAAAAATAATAGAAAATAGTATAAACAAATATCACTTTGTTTGGCATCATTGGGAAGACAAAAAGCTGTATATAACCCCTCCTAAAATATTAAGTTTTATAATAAAAATAAATTGAAAATATATTGCAGTACAGTATAATATAATTTTCCAGTATTTTAATTTGAAAACTTTAAAAGCCTGTTGATTTGTTGTATGAAACATCAAAATAGTTTTGAAACTTGAAATTTTCTGCCAAAAATAATGACATAAATCAACAATATAAATTTTAATTGCATAACTACTTTGTAAATGCTTTCCATCAACTTGCATAATTTATCTGATTAGGTTTAATGTTCATAAACGAAAACACACTACTGGCAGCATTGAAGTTGTGTGTTTTTTTCCCCCCACCAATATTAGTCTTAAAAAATAAAGTCCAATTTCTTTCAAATAAAGCTCTTGAAAACTGTAGCCAAGTAATTGCTTATGGTGTTGAAAAAAATTTGAAAAAACATAGCTCGACACCCTTAATGTGTAAATCCAATTCCCATATCTAAAACACATCAACAAGCTGGAATTAAGTATTTTCCCACACAAATTAAAATACAATAATTCTAAACTAGCTTGGGCATCACCAGAGTAAATACAAACAAAAACTAAAACTAGTTACCTAGTAATTAACAATCAAACTTTTCTTGAGCAACAAAGAATAATTGCTGATCTATTTAAATGCAGAATAACCACATTTATTATTTCATGTTTGGTTATTCTGCAAAGTTTTGTTAAATTTAAAACTTTTGAGATTGCATGCACAGCTAACAGTAACCAGGTAACACAGCACTAACTCTCAAAAGAACTTTTGTCTAGAAGTATAAAGTACCCTGTATATTGTAACCCCAGCAAATAGGTAATACACAGTACAATAATCAATTAACTTCACAAATATTTACTACCGTAAATAAAATATAAAGTAGATTTTAATTAAATAATCCTATTTACATTATTATACTGTTAATACAACAGTATAATACTCTTGTATATACACACGAGTATTGATTTGTATAAGAGTATATATATACTCTTGCAACTGTTGTACTTAACTAGTTGGCAAGTCTGCAACTGTATTAGAGAAGAAATTATATATTTTATCTATTACACTTTGGCTTTTCGTAACTCTAGGTTTCCCATATTGATTTGGTTGGCTTAATATTTCTTTCAACAATTCCCTACCCCCAGTGGAAAATGCATCCTTCAAATTACTGAAGGCCAATCCTGATTTACCAATGGTTTCAGCCATATTACTGGACAAATGATCTGATGCTACTAGTGGAGCCAACGTCGTTGAGTTCATTCTTCCCTTCTCTTCATATTCCATTAACTCGACAAATGACTGGTATGTAAATGAAAAATCATTCAGATTAACTTGCAAACTCTCCTTAAGTTTGGCTACCAATTTTTGCAAAGCTTGGACATCAGCTAGAGCATTATGTGCATCATAAGACTCCTTGAGAAGTACTCTCACTAAGGTTTCTTGCTTGTGATTTTCAAGGCTTGGGTACATTTTTCTGAACAAGGGAAGTGTGTCTACAAAGCCTACTACTAGTTCTGCCAAAGTATTTTCTAGCCTGAATTTCTTGAAAATATTCAAAAGTTTACGAGCATCAAAACGATAACAATTGTGTGCTACCAGAGTAACTGGTGCTAATGGTTCAAGCCAGCTGATAAACAGCTGCAATGCTTTTTCTGGATTTACAGCTTCAACTTTCTTATTATGATGATATAATGATCCTAATTTGTATGTTAACCCAGTTATTTCTGCTGCCTGCCAGGCTACAGATTTATTAGGTTGTACATATTGATTAAATTGCAGGTTTCCCATCACAGCTGACAACTGGATGATGTCACAATCCCTTTCAAAACCAGTGGTTTCTACATCAAAATATACCAAATTAACAATGTTTTCAATATGCTTTAATAAGACCTTCTCTAGAACTGATGGAACCAAAGTGGAAGCTTGAGTCAACCCACTTCCATCTGGGCTGGGCTGTCCATCCCCAAGCTGGGCACTACTCTCATTCAACCTAAAACACAATGTATTCTGAATATTTATCCAAGGTACACTTACCTTATAAATAAAGCTTTAAATGCCATTGTCTACTTGATATGGTCATTAATAATAAACTGTTTGAAATTTAGGTATAAATTTAGAAAGATTTTTTGATTTTGAAAGACTAGATTTTCCGGCATTTGCATCTATTGCAAATAAATTTCCCTCTTCATGGTATAGAAGCCTCTGCCTGGAGTACATGTGAGCACCAAAAGAAAGCCAAATATAGGAGATAACTGTCCATTCATCACATCTCATCACACAGCATCAGTGAACCAGACCACCACCAACAAATCGACCACTACACAAGAGTACAACGCTCCTACAGTTGTTATACAATATATGGTATCCATCACAAATTGCTGCAACCATCTTGCTCTCTTCAACATCCAAATGATGTACAACAGGATAAGGATTTGGGATGGGACGGAATAGATAAAATTTCGTCCAAATTTCAGAGATGTGTCAATAGCCAAATTTAATTCAAATTAATTTTTAAATATTCAAGGAAATATTAAATTTGTTTTCCAATTTTTCTTCCATACTTTAAATTTTTGTAATTCATTTTTTTAATTTTAGAATTGTGGATAGAGGCAAATGGCTTAAATTGATGCTTATTCCTAGGGTTAATTCTTCACATAATTTAAATAAATACACGAGTCAGATTGAAAGCATTTCAAAATCTGATACTGCCTGTTAGTATTATAAGTTTTGGGGACAACCATTTCCACTTAAATCAATAATACACAACCCTGGAAGCTTACAGAATACAAAATATCTACCCGTAAGAGCTTTTTTGAACAAACTTTAATATAATATTGATGTAGAGGTCTTGTGCAACTGCTAAATTTGTAAGGTGTATAAATTGCTGCTAAATATGCAACAGGGCTCCATTAAGGAACATATAATCTCTTCCCACAACCAGACCATCACCAGAGAAGTCTTAACAACACAGAAATCATCGATAGATTCTGCGATAGCAGGTGGCTTGACATCTGCGAGGCACTACACATCAAAAAGTCAACACCAGCAATCAACAGCCAATTAATGCACAACTATATTCTACCCACTTCAAAACTCTGTACCAATATGGAAGCATCAAGAGGAAGTATGGGCCAATAGGCCCTTTGCAGTTACTTCCATTCTTCCCTCTCATTTATCCAATTTATACCCATTGCACCGTGTTCTGTCTTGTGTTGGTCAAAAGTTTGTTCACCTCATCCAGAACTGTTGCAACATATCACCTCACCCAAATGCGACTATATAAGACAAGCTGTTCAATGTTAGCATTAAGTAAAACTCTGTTTAGTGTTTTCAGGTTACAGTTGTGTGTGTGTAAACTAAAGTCATTGAAAATATAATAAGTTATTACGAAGCGGGTTCAAGCGTCGCGTCAGACTAGAAATAAAAATGAATTTTGGAGAATTGATTTTTCAATTACCATTGACAGTAAAAAGAAACATAAGAAATATTGAGAAAATTCGTGTTAGAATTATTAATCTTACTTTTTCGGTCATATTTAACAACATATGTTTACAAGAAAGACTGCTACCAAAATAAATAAATAAATAAATAAAATAAATAAAATATATATATCTACAAAGTGATAGGGGTAAGCAGACCAGTAAAGTGGTACATAAAGACAAATCAACAAAATCGTTAGAGAGGGGAGAAGTGAAGAATAAGGAGAGGGGGAACAAGTTCCTGGAGATTGCATACACCAACATAGGTGGAGTGAGATCGAAGATATTGGAGTTCAGTGATGTAATATAGCTGCAGACACCAAACATTGTTGCACTCACGGAGACAAAACTTGTTATTTTAAATGAGGTCATATTCCCAAGGGGCTACTCAATTTGGACACGGGACAGAAAAATTAGGAAAGGCGGTGGCGTTGCTGTGCTGGTGAAAGAACACCTAAAGGTGAACGAAATAATGACTGCCAATCCACAAGAAGTTGACATAATAGCACTAGAGATCTGCCATGAGGATGATAAACTAATGATCATAAATGCATATAGTCCACCGCCAAGCAGCACATGGTCAAAGGAGGAGCTAGATAGTAAACGAGAAGGTCTTATAACAATAATGAGAGATTATAGCGAGAGCGGAAAATGATAGATCACGACTGTTGATAGTTGGCGACTTCAACTTGAAATCTATAGACTGGGAAGCATATGAAGCTAATACAGAAGATTTAGGGACCTGTAGATTTGTGGACCTCATCCTGGAAACGTTCTTGTATCAACATGTTAAACAAGCTACGAGGATGAGGGAAGGGGACGTTCCCTTCATGCTAGATTTCAAATTTACCAGGAAGGTGATATTTGACATTCAGTACCTTCCTCCCTTGCGTCTTTTTGGGAATAAAGTATGCAATGCGTTATAATCTGGAAGAAAATAAGGAGGTTGAAACAGTTGAAAAATCTGACTTCAGGAGAGGACATTATGGCGACCTTTTTTAGCGAGTATAATTGGACAGACTTGTTGCTAGAGAAGGAAATGAATGAGATGTATGTCAAGTTTTGTGAAATATATGATAAAGGCACAAAAAATTAATACCAAAACAGGGATGCAGAACTAGGAAACAGGATTGGTTCAACAGAAATTGCGAGGGTCAGAGACCAAAAGACACAAAAATGGAATCAATACAGGAAAAGGCCAAACCCCCAAACATACCAGCGATACAAAGATGCGAGAAACAACTACACGACAGTGAGAAGATGAAGAAAGAAATTTTGAAAAAGGGATTGCAGACAAATGTAAAACAGAACCAGGTCTATTCTATAAATTCATAAACAACAAATTGCAGGTAAAGGATAATATTCAGAGGTTGAAAATGGAAATAGATTCACGGAAAATGAAAAGGAAATGTGTGAACCGTTAAACAAAAAGTTCCAAACTGTGTTTGTACAAATGAAATCTTCAGGGAACTAGACACAATAAGAATTCCAGAACACCATGGAGCACATAGAGGTGCCTAGAGACGGAGTGGAAAAAATGCTCAAGGAGCTAAGAACAAAGCAGTTGGTCCAGATGGAGTTACACCATGGGTTCTGAGAGAATGTGCACCTGGAAACATTCCACTTCAACTGATTTTTCAGGCATCCCTGTTTACAGGAGTTGTAGCTGATGTGTGGGAAAAAGGCTAACATTGTTCCAATCTACAAAAGTGGAAGCAGGGAAGACCCCCCTTAATTATAGACCTGTATCATTGACAAGTGTAATAGTCAAAATATTGGAAAAAATAATTAAGAAGAAGATCAACAAACTGGAAAAGGTGCAACGACATGCCACTAAGTGGCTCCCAGAACTGAAGGACAAGAGCTATGAGGAGAGGTTAGCTTTTTCTGCTTTTGCATTAAATATGCAAAAACTAGATGATAGGAGAAAAAGAGGCGATATGATCACTACGTTCAAAATAGCAACAGGAATCGATAAAATTGATAGGGAAGAATTCCAGAGACCCGGAACTTCAAAAACAAGGTCATATATTTAAACTAACGAAAACAAAGCTGCCGGAGAAATATAAGAAAATTCACTTTTGTAAACAGTGGTAGACGATTGGAACAAGTTAGGTGAGAAGGTGGTGGAGGCCAAAACCGTCAGTAATTTCAAAGCGTTATATGACAGAGTGCTAGGGAGACAGAACACCACAAGCGTAGCTCTCATCATGTAACTACACTTAGGTAATTACAATATACTCAGGCTGCCTGTTCCCAACAAAATTAATTAAAAACAAATTATTACTATTAAATGCAGCAGCAGAAGGGTTAAAATAGTAAGGCAATAATGCCTCTTCGGTATTCAAATTAAAACTTACCCAGCTGGAAGGGCATCTAGAGGATCTTTAGGCTTAGGGGCAGGAGGTTCTGATGCTGTTACTGCTGCAACCTCTTTTTCCTTCTTGGGCTGCTCTTTCTTTGGCTGTTCCTTCTTGGCCTTCTTCTCCTGAGGAGTAGAAATGGATCTTGATGTCATCATTTCCCATTGGCAGAAGTAGCAGCATCCAAGTTTAAGAAGTTTCAGCAGTTTCCTAGTATTACAATTCAAGACACTATCATGGATAGAAGAGAAGAAAAAAAGAAACAGTATGTAGCATACTGTGCATGTTCCATTATTTGGTTCCTCTTATCCCACAAAGGAAGAAGAGTTGAATTAAAATGGGATTACTTTATCCTTTGTTTGACACTACACTGCTGGATAACACAAGCAGGCAGAAACACATCAAAGGACTAATACTAAAGTCATACTTCACTGAGAAAGTGATTTTAAAAGGCAACTTTCACTGGTCATGGATGTTCCCTGGTGGTTGTGGTGGTAAGCAAGTGAGTAGAGAAAATGGCTATTCTACGGAGGCCTATTGGATCACCAAGTAAGTAATTATCAAAGGAAAGTACTAAGCCAGGAAGGCAATGTAGCACCATCATTGGATAACAAAGTTTATATTTGCAAGGGGTTTAACTTTGGTAAAAAATATGCAAATATATATTAATACAACAAACTACTTCAATCTGTGATAATGTGCATTACGATTAAAACTGACCTTGTATAGTTAAAGATGCTACACAATACCTTTAATTGCCATGTGAATTGTTTGCAACAGACTTATTATTCCTGGCATCAAGTCGCATTTAGAAATTTTGGAGCACCCCACCCAATTATGTCTCTAGGGAGCAACCTGTCCAATGAAAATAGGGATTGTTATACCATCACACTAGTCTTCAAAATGTTTTGACAATACTCGAGGTATTCTCCAGATAACACTAGTATTGAAAAGTTTTGGCGACAAATGAAAATGCTAAGTTATCCCCATCCTTCTACGACTACCTTTTTTATATTTTGACAAAACCTATTACCATTACCTTATCGCCACTACCTTGCTTCATCTTGCCTTGAACTTCTGCAAATTTCTTGTTATCAAACTGGGCCATCTTCTCGCAGAGCTTGAAATCGCCAATTACTGTTTTTACCTGAGGTTGGTTAATCATTGTTGTGAACCAACGATTCACATTCTGGAAGGGCTTACGGAAGGCTGGTTCCAAGGCATACTGAAAATTTAAGGAAACCTTTTTAGCCAATATTCATTTAAGAAATGCATATTCTAAATTAATGCAGAAAATACAAAAACATATGAGCTTGTTTCTGTACCTGATAGAGATGCAGCAAGGTGCAGCAGACGGAGATGTCAGCCAAAGATATGCGTTCTCCTACCAAGAATGTGCGAGTAAGAAGATGAGCATTCAGTGCACCTAGTGCTTTTTTAACATCTTCCTTGGCACGTTCGGTGTTACCCTTGTTAAACTGCATGATGCCTAAGCATGGGAATACCCATGTACAAGATGCAGGCAAAATTTCATTATCTGCAAAAAACATTTTCCATTCTATTAATTACTGCACTAGTAACAGATTAAAAATGTTGTTTTGCCAAATGGCAGTTATTTAAAGGAAGACATTAGTAAAACCTAAGGAAAATAAGATTATAGCTATGGACTAGATTACCATGCTTTACCCCTCATGTCAAGATTCTTGTATCAACATTTGTGTTCATAGCATGACAAATTAGCTTCAGATATTCAGATATCAAATTAGATTCAGAAGACCAGATATGAGCTTCAGCTATCTCCATCACCACCTTTAATGTTTGCAATAAAAATGCTCAAAAGTTGGAAGGATAAAAATATTTAGGATACTACTACAAAAGGAAAGAACCACTATAAGCTTTCAATTTTGAAGTCTCAAACTGATACATTATCAGTTTTGAATACCAAAAATTCTATCATACTTATAACTCATACACGAGTTCCATAACAGCATACCAGTCCCACACCAGTGTTACTGACTAACATATACACATTTCCTTCTTGGTACGTAACACTTTGTAAAAGAAGCTCATATAGTGTAACTAGAAAGTAATAGTGTACATTAATCTACTTACCAGCGAAGTTCATCCATGCCACAACCTGCGCTTGGTCCATGGCAGACTTGCCACGAAGTTGTTCATTTGCAACAGCCCAGGAAATGGCATTGCTCTCAAAGATGTACTTGCCATCACTAGTCTCAAAGGCAGGCACCTACAAAATAAAAAATGCTATGGTGATGTTTTCATGTTTGCCTGCTGGTTAATTTAAATTAGTTTCAAAATTAATTTATCTCTGGTAATAATACGATTGTCAGAAATACAAATATATTATACTGAATACTCACACAGTAAAACAATAGGTATCTATTTTTAAACAAATGGCAATTCAATAAATACAAGATGCAAAAAACTTCACTGTTCACAGTACATAAATTCAATTAAAAAATAAAACAAATGATTATACAACTGGAAAATACAGCTATACAGCTTATAAAAAGGGGGGGGGAGTCATATCGAGTGCTGAAAAATTAATACTGTATTTTAGACTAGATTTTGAAAATCTACAATAAATTGAAGGTACTAGGCATACTAGCAAAGTAAACCAATTTCATAAAGTGGAATTTTCAACTTTACCACCTCAGATTTTCCTTAAATTTGTTAGAATGAAGTAACTTGCATATACAGGGCCTCGTAGGGCCTGGTGGATAGCGCGCAGGACTCTTAATTCTGTGGCGGGTTCGATTCCCGCACGAAGCAGAAACAAATCGGCAAAGTTTCTTTCACCCTGAATGCCCCTGTTACCTAGCAGTAAATAGGTACCTGGGTGTTAGTCAGCTGTCACGGGCTGCTTCCTGGGGGTGGAGGCCTGGTCGAGGACCGGGCCGCGGGGACACTAAAGCCCCGAAATCATCTCAAGATGACCTCAAGATACATACAAAATTTTAGCCATCGAGTCAAAATCAGACTGACTGGCTTTAGTCACTTTTTCCCTATTGGTTTCAGTAGGGACCTCCAGATTTCCTGTGATTTCAATAGAAATCCAGTTGTATGAACAAATCCACAAGGGCCGTGATGAGGGTTCGAATCTACGTCAGAGGATCCCAGACGCTACCTTAATCGACTGAGCTACGACATGGTTAAAAGAATTGCAACCGGGAAATCATCCTGAATTATCAACGGTTCCTGCAAACTCTCCGAGAGACAAACCAGGGTTTTACACAATTCTCCCCATGCACCCAAGCTATGTCAATAGGCTGTTCTACCTCTTCACCCTTACTTCATTACACAGAAATCAATTCTTTTAACCACGTCGTAGCTCAATCGATTAAGGCAGCGGCTGGGATCCTCTCGGATGTAGGTTCGAACCCTCATTACAACCCTTATGGATTTGTTCAGTTGTATGACTTATACAAGTCAGTGGTAGTCTAGTGGTAGAGTATGTGGCTGGCAATGCCTGGGTCGCAGGTGCGTGCCACCTCTCAGCCCTAGTGGATTTTCTCATCTATATAAATCACATTAGTGTTATTTATGTTGTGATAATGATGTATGTTAAATTTACCTGTATGACAAGGTTAGTTTACTAAAAGTCCCTTCACCCTCTTACCTTGCCAAGAGGGAACTTCTTCAGAAAGGCCTCAGATTTGTTGGTTTCACCAAAGACAAAGTTGCTATCAACAGTGACTTTGGCCCCACTGAACTGTGCAGAAATCAGGACCTTGAAGGCCCTGAAGTTTTCTGGGTATGTGTACAGCGTCTGAAAAAGCAACATTATGAATTTATAAGAGTAACAAGCATATAATATTTAACCACCGCACTGCGCACCTGTTTTCAGCAAAAACCTTAGTGCAATTGTCAAGGACATATTTTTGTTGTTTTTATAAATGTTTAGGTAAAGTTAATGTCAAAATGTTTCCAAACTCAACTATTTCCATTTAAAATCACAAACCCAAAGTGCCTAAAGGCACTTTGGGCAGTTCAGTGGTTAAATGTTTTTTTAACTTCAATTGATCAAGAGGTATTCCAGTCCCTATGCAAGCCTCATCTCTATACACTATTTCAGGATTAATCCTCCAAATAATACTTCCTTCCCCACAATACATGTTATCACTTTTCCCTAAACAAACCTAACCTAACTTTCACCCATGCTAACCTATCCCCACTTGTGCTCACCTAACATTCTAACCTAACAAAAATAGACTATTAAATACACCGAGCAAATGTGTAAAGTATGTTTGAACTCTGGAGCCTTCTTGAAGGCTACTAATCGGTGGGAACATGGATGGAGGGAACTCAGGAACTAGTAGTAAATAAAAAGTATATAACATTAATTATTAAATTAATTTTAAAAATATTCCAGGAATTAACCTGATTATGTCAGTAATGTCACTCTCCTTGCATAGTACAGTACACACAAAACTTCAACTTGTTTTATATGTTAGACAAGGTTTGCTTAAATAGTAGCGACATACCATGAAAACCTGGATCTCTTCATGATCCCTTCAAAATAAGGTCCAAGAGTAGCCTTACACCAAAAAAAAAAGTGTATAAATGTACAGAATATAGCAAATGCAATACTGTGCATGTTCCATTATTTAGTTCCTCTTATCTCACAAAGGAAGAAGAGTTGAATTAAAATGGGATTACTTTATCCTTTGTTTGACACTACACTGCTGAATAAAACAAGCAGGCAGAAACACATCAAAGGACAGCATAGTCATGCTTCACTGAGGAAGTGATTTTAAAAGGCAACCTTCACTAGTCTTTTGCCGGATCTTATAGATTATTATAGAGTATTTCTATAAATATTACTAACAAGACTTTAATAATATTCATCTTTATCTTGCCATTCTTAGGCTCCATTTAGATTATATTCAGTTTTGGTCTCCATACTTTAGAATAGACAAATTCACAAAAATGTGTAAAGAAAGTTGAAAATCTCTCAAATTAGAACCCAAATTAGCATGTAAGCAAACCTTACGTTTTCTAAACAAGACAGTATAGGTTGACAAGTCAGAAGTAAATAAAAAGATAAAGGGTATAACAATAGGGATATATATATATACAAGGTTTAAATGTAATAAAAATGCTAAAAAATTGACACATATTGGAGAAATTAAAGGAACAAATTACCAAGATAATAGACATGGGATTGCTGGATAGTTTCAAGTGTAGTTTAGATATACAAGTTTCGATGGATTTAACCCTTGGACAGCAGTTATAGTCATATGGTGAATCACGAGGTAATACAGTTATCATATGATAATTGAAACAATTATTGTCTGGGTTTTACATGAATGATGCAAGGATATAATAGCTCTGTAGATGTAATAGTTTACTTTGACCCATGGAAAAGAATCCTGCTATTAACTTATGATTATGTGTACTAAAAGCCTGCTGTTATCCGTGTGCCACATTGGTGGCTTGCGCCTTTTTTTCAATGTACAGTATACTCACTCATATGGTGCCAATTAGGCTATATGTCATCACCCAGAGCCCAACACCATTCGATCGTGAATGGTGTTGAACGATCTTCCAGAGGGTATAGACTCATTCCTCTCGATGTTTGCTGATGATGCAAAAATTATGAGAAGAATCAAGACGGATGAAGATAGGCAGAGACTACAGGATGACCTGGATAAACTGGAGGAATGGTCTAGAAAATGGCTGCTGAAGTTCAACTCTGGAAAGTGTAAGGTGATGAAATTAGGCGAAGGGAGCAGGAGGCTGAACACAAGGTATCATCTGGGAGGGGAAATCCTGCAAGAATCAAATAGAGAGAAGGATCTGGGGGTTGATATCACACCGAACCTGTCCCCAGAGGCCCACATCAAAAGAATATCATCAGCGGCATATGCTAGACTGGCCAACATAAGAACTGCCTTCAGAAACTTGTGTAAGGAATCTTTCAGAACCCTGTATACCACTTATGTAAGACCAATCCTGGAGTATGCAGCTCCAGCCTGGAGTCCATACCTAGTTAAACACAAGACAAAGTTAGAGAAGATTCAGCGGTATGCCACCAGGCTCGTCCCGGAACTGAGAGGATTGAGCTACGAGGAAAGGCTAAAGGAGCTGAACCTCACATCCCTGGAAAACAGAAGAGTAAGGGGAGACATGATAACCACCTACAAAATTCTCAGGGGAATTGACAGGGTGGACAAAGACAAACTCTTCAGCACGGGTGGGACACGAACAAGGGGACACAGGTGGAAACTTAGTACCCAGATGAGCCACAGAGACGTTAGAAAGAATTTTTTCAGTGTCAGAGTAGTTAATAAATGGAATGCACTAGGAAGTGATGTGGTGGAGGCTGACTCCATACACAGTTTCAAATGTAGGTATGATAGAGCCCAGTAGGCTCAGGAATCTGTACACCAGTTGATTGACAGTTGAGAGGCGGGACCAAAGAGCCAAAGCTCAACCCCCGCAAGCACAATTAGGTGAGTACAATTAGGTGAGTACCATTGAATATTATGTTGTATCCTTTTCACTGCTATCTATGGTTTTAATGGAGTATACCAGGTAAACCAATCATCAATTGAAACATGTGAATTATGTGACATGTTATTTAACACAAACCCCTTTGTAAATAAAGTGAAACAAGTGATAAACAATCAGTGAAACATCCAAGGATAACAGAAGCGTCAGCAGTCAGGAATCGGGCGTTGACAGGCCACAGCCACCACGCAACCTTACACAGCACATCCACCCAGTGGAGGCGATAAATATTCTAATATTCTTTTAACTAATATTCTTTATTTCATAATAAGTCATATTAATATGACTTATTATGTATTAATATTTAATGTTTTTCTTACATTTTGCATATCAATTAATAATTCTATGACTTTTTTTTTTTGCACATTAGGCAGGAATGATCATTTTGCTATAGTCACTGTCCAAGGGTTAAACAGGAGCTGCTACATACAGGCAAAAAAATATAAAATAAAAACAGGCCTTCTGACTCTTTACTAGTTTTTTTTATGATTGTGCAACCTAAAAAATAAATAAAATATAAAACATTCTTTATCTTTACTCAGCAAGGTGAAGCATCGCTGACAATCAGCTTGCATCCTGAAAGCTTTTAGAATTCTATGAATAGCACAGTATACCATGGTTCTGTATTGTTGTGGTGCAGCACTGCACCAATCCATATGGTGCAGTGCAGATCCATCTAGCAGACCTGGATGGATCCGCCTAATCACCTAGAGCTACCAAAGCTTCCTAGTATTACGCAAGTAATGAATAAATATGACATTTACTCACTATAATGTTGGTGCTAAATGTAGAACAGAAAAAACATTTTTATTCAAATATAATTTTTGACATATTAGACGAAATTAAGTTGCAGGTTATGCCACAGGAAGTCTACAATCCAAGCGACAATGTTGTGGAGCGACTTATTCAAGATATATTATTGCTCGGAGTGTTTGCAAGCATATCAGCCTCCTGTACCTAACCTAATATCACCGCTAGGCAACAATACTGTATTTCTAGGATAAGTCGCTCCACAACATTGTCGCTTGGATCGTTGACTTCCTATGGCGTCACTTGCCACTTACTTTCATCTAATTTTGTCAATTATATTATTTCAAGAGTAAAAATGTTCTCTAATGTTTTAAATTCAGCACCAACATTAAAATGAGTAAATATATTATTTCTTCCTTATTTGCATAATGCTGAGAGGTTTTGGGTAACTAGTTGGACCAGTATGGATACATACAACAGGCAGATTGCCGATGGATTTAAAATATTACCCAACCTAACCTATCCCAACAGTGCCTAGCCTACAGTAATACATGCTAACCTAACCATATGTATGGCTTGGACAATTAGAAAACAAGCTTCATTCAAAGCTTGTGTAAGCTTTGACTATACCTCATCCTGTATGTCACTCTTGTTCAGTTCCTATAATATATATTAATATATATATTAGTATATATATATTATATATTATATATATAAATATATATATATATATATATATATATATATATATATATATATATATATATATATATATATATATATATATATATATATATATATATATATATATATATATATATATATATATATATATATATATATATATATATATATATATATATATATATATATATAATATATATATATATATAATATATATATTATATATATATAATTATATAATATAGGCACTTACATAGGAGATACCCGTAAGGTCTCTCGCCAGTGTGTAGTCGCACAATTATGGTGATCTTGACTATTGCTGGTAACAATATTGAACGATCTCGGGCCTCTACAACCATACCGTTTTCAAAGATTTTTTTCACAATGTGACAATCAAATTTATGCAAGTAATAAAGTAATAAATGCTAAAATACAATAGAATGTTATAAACAACCCGGTCATTAAAGTGTCAGTTATTTATAACCCAAGAACCATCTTCCTCGCAAGTCACACCCCTCTAACGTGAGCCTTCCACAGAACAAGACGGAACCGGCAAAAACTGCAGGACTTTTCTAACCAATTAATAATAAACTGCACTTTATTTTGGTCCAGAGGTGTATAACAAGCAATTACAGTCCACTTGTATATCACCATTTCGGGTAAAACTGACCGATGGCGGAAATAAAAGGCGATTTGTGTAGAGAGCTCCCGTACTCACCCCGTTGGCTGCCATGGTTGTTGTCAGAGGACTCTCGTCGCCACGCGCATGCGCGGTCTCTGCACCCAACGCTACAACGGAGCTATTTATAATATATACGATATTATTTATATTATTAAATGCCTTATTGAACCAGTCTTGAGAATACGAGAATTATTTATTTCATAAATAGAGAAAATCTTAGATAACCAAATGTATTAAACCTCCAAATATATTGATTATTTATTACTACAGAAAATTATGATCAGAAAATCTCGACCAAGGGATAATTCCCCTAAGATTGAAAACATGCAAATGTCAACTCCTATCTTAAAAAATATGCAGAAAGAACTCAGCAGAAATCTACCGACCAATCAATCTAACGTTACGTCATAGGCTCATGGAGTGAATCAAGGGAGGGAATCATTCACAATCTCACAGTTGTAAACTCAACACAACGTAAACAAAAATATATGCTGCCTTACTACTTACGCTTTCGGACACGGTAATTAAACAAAGGACTTCTAGTGCACGTAATATAATGTGGACATCCCTAGAAAACTTATAATTTTGATATTTTTTTTTTAATTAACAAGTTTAGTTATAAACAGCAATGTGCTGCTACCCAATACTATATGAAAGATTACACAGTGTAGATCGAAAACTAGCTATAACTTCATCTAATATTCCCATCTCACAAGATGGTTAGTCATACATGAAAGTCTGGCAAAGAAATTACAAGCATACAGAATAAAGATAAAATACTAGAATGAATAAACCCATGGTTAAAACAGAAGAAACAAAGGGTCGTCCTAAATAGAAATTAATCTTACTAAAAAAGAGCGCCAATAATCCTCCCAGAACTAAATGAGTAGTTTTTTTTATTATTAACAAGTTTAGGTGTACACAGCAATGTGCTGCTACCTTATTCTGTATGAAAAGATTACACAGTGTAGACCAAAAACTAGCTATAAGTTCATCTAATATTCCCATCTCGCAGGATAGTTAGTCATACATGTAATCAGGGTGGCAAATACCAGCGTCAATACAAAAACAAATCATTTCTGACTAAACAACTAGCTATAAGTTCATTGTGAGTAGTTTCACCCTGGAGGTGGGGGGAGGCGAAGAGTCAAGTAGAGGCATTAACATTTCTGTATATTGTATGCACAGTCCCCCCTCTCCACGGCGCTGGAACCTCGTATTGGCGTTTGCCTTTCCATTGGAGACTTTCGGCGCCGTGGAAAGGAGTGCGGGGGGAACCTGCTGCTTGGGTAACAGCTTCTCCATATCAACCTACCCAGGCTTTGCGCCCTGGTGAGGCCACTCCAGACCAACAACCAGAGCGCAACTCCATAGTCTCCTGAGACTGATGGATGCCTACTACTATACACATTTATTCTGTTCATTGCCCAACATACCCCATACCCTAAATCGGTTAATTGTTGCCCTTTTCCCTCCTGCCCCCAACAAAATTTACAGAACAAAACTTTTTTTCCACCAGTTCATTTTTGTACGTTCCATCCATAGTTGCTGTAAGTACAGGCTTGTCCCCATCAAGTTAGTTTAGTTCATTTATTATGCACCCCGTACCCATCTTGTGGGCGGTAGTGAAAAGGGTTACAGAGGCACATAATGGGCTCAGGGACTGAACCCCACAATTCATTTAGCTAAGCAAGTTACATGAATTGTGGGGTTCAGTCCCTGAGCCCATTGAGTCCCCATTGAGGCCACTTTAATTGTTGGATATGGTGGCCCCTCGTAAACAGTGTTGGGAAAACTGGGTAGTTAATATATTGTTTTGTTTAAATATTCTGCTACTTAGCTAGAAATGATATTGCCAAATAGGGATATAAAAGCAATACACTGTAATCGTTATTTGTGGCTATCGATAAATATTGATATGTTACAAAGCTTATAATAAGTGTACGGGTGGCGCTCTACACCCACACACCACTGCTGATGACTAATATTAGAATGTTGCCTCGACTGGCCTCCTTCACCAGCTCCACCCTCTTTACATGTAACGTCAGCCTCCACCACCTCCCTCTCCACCTCTATATTTGTAATCTCAGCCTCCACCACCTCCCTTTCCACCTCTATATTTGTAATCTCAGCCTCCACCACCTCTATATTTGTAATCTCAGCCTCCACCACCTCTATATTTGTAATCTCAGCCTCCACCACCTCTATATTTGTAATCTCAGCCTCCACCACCTCTATATTTGTAATCTCAGCCTCCACCACCTCTATATTTGTAATCTCAGCCTCCACCACCTCTATATTTGTAATCTCAGCCTCCACCACCTCCCTTTCCACCTCTATATTTATAATCTCAGCCTCCACCAGTGTAGACTATATATAATCCTTCACCACTGATTGATGAAGATTAAGCCACCCAAAAGGTGGAACGGGCATAAATAGCCCGTAATTGGTGGCCCTTTCGAGCCATTACCAGTATCAAGAGCTGATACTGGAGATCTGTGGAGGTGCAACTGCACCCTGCGTGACGGGAGATGTCTCCCGTGCCTTCACCACTTCTCTAGCTGTAGCCTATATAAGCCTTCACCACCCTCCAACCACAAATGTTTGAAGGAGGGGGAGGAGAATGAATTTAGGAATATAACCAAAACATGCGACATAACCAGGCTAAACATTCACAAACTAAAAGGACTCAAAAGCCCCAGGTGAGGATGGAATCAAATCCAAAGTCTTAAAGGAACTGGTAGAAGAACTATACCTACCGGTGAAATTACTTTCACAAAATCTCTTCACAAAAATGTTGTATTATAAGTAATTTGCATATTGCATTTATAGTAATGAAGTTGCTTAATGTAGGCAAAAAACATAGAAACCTGTATTTACTTTAACTGGTTGCCTGGTAGTTAATTTATAATATATATTGATTTCATGCTTGCATTTGCATGTTGATTATGATATCTGTGACATTATGCAACCAGCCTACCACATATTTAAAATGTAATAATATTCTTGATTTAGCTCAGATCCCTTGGAGGGTGTGGGGGGGGGGGGAGCTAACGGTTGTGTGTTTTAGCTATCAGCTTTAAGATGTTGCCAAATTCACCTTCCTGGTTATTGACTTAAGTAATGCAGCCCATCCTCAGGTTAATTCAAACCAAGTACATGCAGTGCATTTTACTATTTAGAAAATGCATTTATGAACTAAGCCTGGTGACTGCAATGAGTGTCCTCCTGGTTTAAACCAACTGGATTCTAATCTAGATATTTGTGATGTTCTGGAGGCGTATTAAGGTTCTACCAGGTCTTTTTATCAACTGGTAAGTAAACCTTTGTCCTTAACAGGTTATTCTCACTTTATACCTGTATATCATTTTAAACCCAGGCATTCTAACTGGCTCAATCTCTGTTATACATGTTTACTTTGATAATCCTTAGAGGCCAAAGTTTTCTTCTTGTCAAATTCTTGGATATTCAAGTTTCGATATCCACAATTTCACAAAATTTGATGACTAAGGCAAGAGAATGAATTGTGAAGAAAAATTTCAGAATCAAGAAACAAATTAAAAGATACATAGGGTCTGGAGAAATAGGGAAATAAAAACACTTTTCTTAACATGAAGAGGATGGTAGGAAAAGAAATAAATGTACATACCACTGTGCATTGGCTTACAGTACACAAAAATAGAAGCCAGACACAGAGCTGTAAACATGTACATCTAGGAAAGAAAGGAGGAAATTGATTCCCATTCAATCTTGAAAGTGACAGAAGTTAGATTGTTGAGAGAGAAGAAAGGCTGGAAAAGATTTAGTCATATAAATGCAAAGAGCAAAAATATCAACATAGTGAAGCCAAAGAGAGAGGAACGAATTTCATTAGTAGGAAGAACAAGTTTCGAAGTATTCTACATAGAAATTGGCAAGAACATGAGAGGTCCCATTGCAACACTGAAAGGTAAAGATAAATATTTGCCATTGAAAGAGGAATGGGTGAACACAGACTGACGAGATCGAGGAAGACGTCAGTAGGAAGCGCAACATGAAGAAGGCTCTCAGTCGTCTTATGACTAAGGAGAGAGATCATCATCGCAGGGAACATTAATATAAAAAAAAAAAGTAGAGAGAATCAACATCAATAATAAGCATCTTACAAGAGGACTGCAGGCTCAATCTGCCAATGAAGTTAATAAAATACTTTGTATCCAACCTGAATGTGACAGGTTGGGTACAAAGTATTATGACAAAACTTCTAAAACAATTTCTCGTTCCTAGGCCATCAAGAACCCAATAATAGCATACTGCAACTAATTAGTATGCCATATCAGAGCATGCTAGATTGACTAAATCTTGTTTTCAGGCAAATTAAAAAATTCTCCATGTAATAAACATTTATGCTAATAATGCAAAAGTGTTATCAAAATTTAGACAAAATGCAACTCTGACATCTGATTATGGAAGAGTACTGTATGCAATATACAAATACAGTTCCTCATATATGATGCCAAGAGTAATAGGAATAAGAAAAGTCTTTTTTTTTATCTGCAATTATTTACATAAAACAATACAGCCATTTACAACATATAAGATAAGGCTATACATAATTTACAAATATTTTGGTAGCAAAACTACCTTTTATTGAAGACACTTGAGGAAAGACCCTATCCCAGATGGGAAGACAATGATTGATTGCAAGGTGAAGGCGATTCCTTAATTCAATGTGTTCCAAGGGCCCTGACACTCATTCTGTTAAGATGAAGAACATCGTTCATCCACTCAAGACCTTAGCATACAATATAAAAATATATGTACAATTGTCTATGACAAACATACGAGTATTTCATAATTCACTGTAAAGTGCATTACAGCTTAAAACAAATTAAACCATTGCTAATTGGGACTTTGTGACTTTGGTCTTGTAGTATTTAAGACAAGTGAGAGCAATACCTTGACGGAGGAAATATTAGACACATCCTAACTCTCTGCTTCCTATCGTTGAACAATAAGAATAAGAATAAGGGTGACTAAATCCCTGATGTAAGCATCATATGATTCACCAATATATTAAGCAATAAAACACTACAGAAGGCACCAGATTATTCACTATTATTTATAAGCATTCTGGGAAAGATACTGGGAATGTGTCCCTATTAGCTGAAATTCAATCTGTTTCTTGGTGTGTCTTTGGTTCATCAAATCCCATATCATACATACCCTGCTTTTCAAATATATCACCATATCTAACACTCGAAAATGTACAAAATCACAGCTTGCTTTTCCCAGCACTGGGTTTAACAACACGAGATTGCTACTCCTTTCTGCCAATATAAGGCCTAAAATTCAAAGAGCTAGTGGTAGATTGAGGTAAACATAGTTGCTCCAATGTCAAGCAAGCTAAAATTAATATGCTGCTGAAGTTGGCCTGCAGTGACAATGCATGCTACCACTACCTCCCACCATCACAGTTACTGTGATATGATCAGATATCTTTATCTCTGTATAAATTTTATAAAATATCCTTTTTCCACGAGCAGAAAAATAGTTTTCTTATAAAAAAACAAAAACAAAAAATAAATAGCCAAAATCTCAGACCCTATCACATCTAGAGCTACTGGCAATAACTAAATCATACATAGACTGGATGTTGACTATCTTTTTCATCATTTCCGCTGCCACCTGGTGTACTGTCAAAAAATCTTCTAAATGTGAACTCAAAGAATGCATGGAGTGGCTGGTTGCTGTTGTTGACCCATTCTATGTCACTTTCATTAGGTTCACTTGGTCGAAGTTTGTCTGGATCAATGGGATCGAAGTTTGAGGTATCTGTTGGGTGTTTAATTTTGGGTAAGTAGAGTGCTTGCTGTTTTCGCAGTCCTCCTTCAAAATCTAAGGATTCAAGGAATGGATGACTTTTTACTTCTTGAGCACCATTGCGTCCCAAGCGCTGTTCAGGGTGAGTACACAAATTTAGTATCAAATCCTTTGCCTCTGAAGATAATTTGGCTTGTTTGGGTATCCGGAGAGTTGTTTCCCAATTGATGACCTAGTCAAAATAAACAATACTAGCATTAACACAAATATCATTATTACTTGATAAATCAATCCTACTTTCATTAGTTTTGCATGAAAAACATTCTTCAAATGCTGAACTGTATTTATTAGTTAAATAGACATCTCAATTTTGTCAAGGCCAACATACAAATCATTGTGCAACATTTATATCATATTAACATATTAAAAGCAAGCACTTTTATCTTGAACACTGGTATTTAAGAGTTGCAGTCAATAATGCAATTGGCATGACCATGCCCCAAAACTGCTGTTAAACAGAGCACAAGGTACTGACAATGATATGCATAAAGAAATCCAAAGTTGGGAGTAGGCATAATTATAGATGATCTGTAAGGGTTTCTAATTAGATGTGATATAATCTATTTTAGCAAAAAATAAAATATTTACTTTAGCAAAATATATATCTATTATAAAAAAAATATATGCTTATCTTTGTTTCTCTCTACATACCTGAGTACTCAAAATGCATTTTGTAATTCTAATCAAATTAAGCCAACAAATATAATTAAAGAAGCATGATATTTTTTTTATCAAGATGGTGCTCTCAGGGAAACTAAAATGGACAGCAAAATGAAAATAACTCTGTACAGTAACACAGTACTCCAGAAAGAAAAAAAAATTGGTTTGCTCTGATTACCATAAAAGGATTATATGCAGTTACAATTAAAAAATATGTTTTCCATGCTTACTTTCCAAAAAATTTACCTGCTAAACTCAAATTATAATAATGTACCCACCTTATACTGGGTTTCTGGCGGTGTATTGGCAAGGAATGGAGGCTGGCCAACCAACATCTCGTACAGGATCACTCCCACACTCCACCAGTCACATAGCTGCGTGTAACCTGTACGTGATAATACCTCTGGTGCTATGTAATTTGGAGTGCCAACCAGAGAGTGTGCCAGGCATCGTAAATGTTGCCTTCTGCGCCTTCTCTCAAGGGGCTTGAGGTCATTGCAGTGGCACACAATGTCATTATCTCCACAAGGATCTATAGAGTCTTGCCTATTATGGTCACCTGAGAAAAAATATATGTACTGTAGTATGAAGTCCCATGAAAAAAACCGTAACACCACTTCTCTTTTATCATTAAGTAAGGATCAGGCAATCAGATTCAAAAGGGTTTAAGGAAAAGTAGCAAACTATAAACAATTTATAAAGAAATCAAACAACCAAATAGCAGGTAATGTGTTGGAGAAAGCAAAATACTCACCAACTCTCTGATAATATTTGGAATTATGAGTCCATCTGAAGCCAGTGCAGAGGCCAAAGTCTGTGAGTTTTATATGTCCATCTCTATCTATAAGGATGTTGTCTGGCTTGATATCACGGTGAATAAAACCCATCTTATGAACACTTTCGATCGCACACACTAATTCCCCAATATAGAATCTGGAAAGCAGACAAATTCATATAGATACTGTACTGATATTGTTTTTATTTTTTCTTAAATATAAATTTACTTTTAAAATTTTCTACATTACTATTTCTCTCTCAAAAAAAATTACCATCCTATTTGTCAAATACTGTAATGTAATATAAATAAAATCCATCAAAAATGGATAGTGACCTATACTGGTGTTTTTGTAACCTGCCTGTCTTTTTATTTAGAATTTTTTCAATCTCTACTCGATACTTCAGGTTGAACAAATAAATGATTGCACAATGAAAATGAAAGCATATCTGAATGAACTTTCATACAAATAGGAGAGGGGGAAGGCCAATAAAATTGGGAGGGGGATGGGGGTAGGGGGGTGGGAACAAGGAGAAAGGAGTAATTATCAAAAGAAGGTACTGTACTAGGCTGGGGAAGACTATGTAGCACTGTTTGTATCACTAGATATCTAAGACACTAAATATCACTCAAGATGCCAGTATGAGAAGAGAAGTATACAAGGTGAGCAATATGAAAGGTGTGGGATTCACAAAGAATTCTACTGAAGGAAATGTGACCCATAAGGACATTAGGAAAGCAAGGTATACAATCACCTTGAAAATTGGGACATTCTACAAGGTGCACAACTGTAGAGATGTTCTCTAGTTCAAAATTGAATGCAGATTCTGTGATTCAGTGTGGGGAAGTGGGATTTAAGTGAACAAGATCAAGAAGTGGTACAGAATAAAGTGGCAGATGTTTTGCGAAAAAGGAATGAATATTTTATATTATTTCTATACAACTGAACACAAGTAGCCCTGTACACCAATTCTCATATGATGAGGTAGCATACTGTTGCAGATGATTTGCTGGAGTGTGGCAATGCCTGTTCTTTTTTATATTGTGTAATGTGCAAAATTTAGTGTATGGATGATATTTAGTATCTTCAGTTTTCTTTTTAATGCTACATTATCTTCTCTGGCTGATGCCTTTCACAACTCATTAAAGTAAGAAATGGGGTGAGAATGTGTTCTTTTTCAATAACTTACTACATCTACATTTCTGTGCTTTATCAGTATTATTTTAAAGCCTTGAAACAACTTCATGGAATACATTTTATCCAAGCAACTGCTTTTCTCCAAATTCAAGCAAATTGAATTTTGTAAAAGATTATAATAGGCCTAATACCAAAGAAGTCTAGCATGATATGGAAAAGAAAGAGAAACCTGAATTCTTCATTACTTTGCTTAAATTTACAACCACAAAATAGGTTTCTATAACACTTACCTTGCTAATTTTTCTTCAAAAATGCCAAATTTTATTAGCAGAGACATGAGGTCACCACCCGGTATGTAGTCCATAACAAAGTAAAGATTGTCTTTATCCTGTGAGAGTACCAAACATCATGTTAGCCAGTTATTAAAACTTGAATTAATTTTAATAAAACTTTTACAGATTAAATGTTTTGACAAATATATAACTGCCTCATTCACCCTTGTAATAGCTCAAGTTGGTATCTTAAATATTCTAAATCTTTTAGTTCCATAGATTTTGTTACCAAATATGTTTGACAGGAAATATAATCGAAGTAGAACAATGTTAAAATATTACCTGAAATGAATAATATAGCTTGACAACCCATTCATTGTCTGCTTCTGCTAAAATATCTCTCTCTGCCTTGACATGGGCTACCTGGTTACGCTTGAGAACATCAGCTTTACGTAAAGTCTTCATGGCATACAGTCGGTGGGTATCAATTTTGCATACCAAGGCCACCTCACCAAATGCTCCCACACCTGTTAATGGATAGTTTGTCAACCAGCATACTATGTGGTATAAATTACTTATTCAAAAAAAATTCAACAGAAGAACTTCAATATTTTTGGTATTCATAAGTAAAATTTTTATACAAATTACCGACATTTAAAAAATTCAATAATATAAAACCAACAATCTGTAGTGGAATTGTTAAAAGTTGCAATACAACAAACTTAAGATCCAAGTCTAAAGTTGCCAATAAATTATATGCTAATAAAGCAAGCATGTTAAAAAACACGAACTTACCTATTGTTTTCACTTTGCGGAACAGCTGTTTGTCCATTTTTGCTCTTTTCAATCTAATGAAGTTGGATTCTTTCTGTGACAACATTTTACGCATTTGTGACTGATCCTTGTCAGACAGACCAATTTTCTTCATCTCTTTTTCTAGCTGCATTCTTCGGTTTTCTCTTTCTTCACATGATTTAATAACATTTTCAATGTGTTGTTCCATATAAAATTTAAAAGCCTGAGGAGACAAATTACGGACTTTGGATTCACACCTCTGTAGTTCCATTTCTGTGCTTAATTTCTTTCTCTCGGGTATAGGTGAATGATGAGTAGTCTTCTGAACTATCGGAGGTGGCGGCGGAGGAATACCTCGACATGATTGGCCAGAAGAATAACCAGATTCTAAAGTTAAATCTGATTGTGTGGATGGAGATGATGTTGCGGTAGAAAGGCATGACACGGGACTCTGTGACAGAGCATGCGTGTCATGGGAATTGACTGAAGAAACAGGACTTTCAGATCGAGATGCTATAGAGGCAGTGTCTGCCATTACTGGAGAAAATTTGCGCTGCAGTGGAGGGTGACTAATGTGTGTTAAATGAGGGTCATAACAGCTACTAACAGTTTCTACTCCACTTGCTGGATGTGTTGTAATAATGGAATCGACTGTACTAACTTGGGTGATAGGTATGTGAGCCAAAGGAGTGGAAGACAAATCCAGCTCTTGCACTGGTGTTTCCTGAACAGGTATACTAGCAACAGGCTGAGATAAATAGCCAGGACTGTACCCCCGAGCTGCTGCTGCCGCCATTGCTTGTATCGTTGAGTGATAACTTGGAGGATCCGTAGTTGGCACTGCTCCACTATTGCACGTTACTGCTAGCTGATAATTGCAAGAAAGCCCAGGAGAGGATGATCCACCACTATCCTGAGACATCATTTGTGCTAGAGCTATACTAGGCACATCCTGGGCAACAGCAGCAGCCTGAGCCTGTTTTTGTTGAATTGAAGAGGCATAAGAGGGGGGTGGAGCTGATACAGGAGGAGAGGTTGGGGCTGCAGCTGTTTGAAGTATGGGTTTTTGCACCTGGGTACTCTTCACACTCTGCATGATAATAGGAGTTGGAGTTTTGGCTTGGCGAGCTGTTTGACCTCCACGTGGAAGTGATACAGGAGACATGGATGATGGAGGGGAGAGTGATGATGGCGATACAGGATGAGGGGTCATGATGGGGTTCTGTCCCTGGAAAGTTAACTGTGGAGGACTTCTTCTACAGTCTTGCGTAGGACTTTGTCTATTCTGCATTGTTGCATTATATGAAGGTGGGGGTGCAGCTAACTTGACAGCTCCAACATGTTTTAAGGCTGACCCTACTGGGTATGGAGGGGGTCTGTCCAGTTGGTTTCCATAGTTGTTGCTATTATTTATAGAGAGGGCCTGCATCTGATGTGAAAGCTGTTGTTGAACCTGACTGCTCTGCACCACCACTGGTTGTCGACCACCAAACGAAACGGGACTAGTACCCCTCTGAGGGGTTGAGCTTTGTGACACATTATTGATATTTACATAATTTGCTTGGGACTTATTTTTGCTAGGACCTGGGGAAAGTCTTGAGAGTAATAAAGGTCTCTGCCCAATAGTCGTTACTATGGTAGGAGCACAGCTCGTGGCACAAGGATAAGGTGGTGGTGGAGGTGTAGTGCCTCGTGGCGGGGTAGGGGGTGGAGCAGTTGCACCCTGACTTCTCGGTGGGGGTGGAGGGGGTGCTTCTGGAGCTATAGGGTATGAATTGCTGTACTGCCTGGAAACAGCAGCATGGTTTAAATCCCCGACTAGTGGCTCGCCGCTCCCAAGTCTAGGTTGAGGGCACTCTGCATATTGTCTGACAGGCATACTATTGGCATAATATATTTGTCCACCAATTCCTGGACTGTCTGAACGTGTGCTTGCATTGCTGCTTTCCAGTGCAGGACTTCCTCGGTGTAAATTCAGCTCCCGATCAAAACTGGATTTTCGTATGATTTTGCTGCCTTCAACCTGATGAGTAGGTTTGGGGTATCCATTGTATGTCTTCTGAATATCTTCTTCCGAGGGACCAAGATTAAAAGAGCCCTGGCACTGAGCACCCGGGCTGATGGGGCTAAGCCTCTCCCGAGGAATGCCGCCTGCAGCATATGGCAGCAAAGAAGCTCTGATCTGATGTAAAGCCTGTAAATAAAATACTCATTTGAATTTATGAAACATAAAAAATTAAAATTTTGCTTCAAAAAACATTTCTGGTTTAACTGTGGTATGAAAATTTAACTTCTATAATACTATCCAAAGACCAGTCACAAATGTGTAAATGCTCAGAGCTGGAAAACTACTGCATGAGACAAAATGTAAGTTAACCCTCTTGTGATCAATTGACAACATATGACACAGTACATTACTCTCAAATATCACAACACATGGTTTTTGAGTAACAATGTGATTCAAGTTGTTTACATCACATGTTTTACAGATAATGTTAGTGGAACTATGCCAGTGTTCAGTAAGTGCTTATGTATCAGTGATTAGAGAAAATAAAGTGTTGCTCTTTGTGCCCAGCCTTTTAGATTTTTGTATTTTATACAATTTTTAATCACTTGACATTCGTGTTTTTTGTTGTTGAATATGATTATAAATATATACTGTAAATTGTCATGGCACCGATGACAGCCATTTAATGCATTCAGGAAAATGAGATACTGAACTTAGTTTTATATCTAAAAACTCAAGTATTATCCTTCAATTTGATCGTGAACTAGTAAAGCCCCACTTGGATTATATCATAAAATTTTTGGTCCCAATATTACAGAATTGACATGCTGTAAATTCTCTCAAAAGCATTCAAAGTAGGATGACAAAATTAATTGCCAGTAGCAAGAACATTTTTACGATGAATGCCAGAATTTAATTTACATTCTCTTGCAAGATGTATAACATGGGGAAAAAATGATAAAAGAACATACAAGTGGAACCAAGAACTTCAACAAAACTTTGTAGACCTGAGGCAGTGAAATCTACATGAGCAATTCCATCTATCATCATACTAATCATGCAAGAGGAACTACACATCTATAGATCAGCCAATAAAATCAGCAGACTCCTAGATGTTACTACTGCTTGGCTTAAGACTTGGTTACAAGTATCTCTTAGAATTTGCATTACCTGTCGAAGTACACCTAACCAAATGAAAACTGTCAGCAAAACTATTCACACACACTCCATCACTATATGATGGAATGAGAAAAGATACAGTATACTGTATTCTGTATATTTTTTTATATACAAGAGTTCTTACATTCTTGTGAGAATTTAGACAGTTTAACAATTTAGAAACAGCTCTATTACAAATGATAAAGACATGTGTAAATATTTCATTCAAAATTATCTACTATCAAAAATTTTTGCCAAATATCCCAAGGTTGGTAACTGAAGGAAATACAGTACTGCAAATGCAGGTGATCCAACCTGTCCTCCTACAAAGAGCATTGCTTTTCGCACGTATGCGTTACCTAAGGACAAAAATTGTCGTACTAGAAAATGGAAGCTGCTCGCTAAAGTTATGTACTGTCCCGTTTTCTGTTTTGGGTTCTCTGGTAGATTAGGAGAGGACACTTTAAATGACCCTTTTCTTGACACTGGAAAACCTTAGGACAGGCTGGGTGATCATCTGGAACTAATTCACTGCACATGCAAGTTACTTAGCTTAGAGACTGTACTTGTGGTTATTCTCGAACCCATTGTTGACATAATATATAATTCATTAAACTGGGTAATGTGGTTCCGTTCCTGAGCCCATTATGTGCCTCTAACTTTTTTTTTCCCCAGTACCACCTACAGGATGGGTATAGGGTACATAATAAATAAACTGAAATGAACTAAAAATGGATGTAGGACATTTACAAGGGGAATATAAACAAAATCTTCAAATTTCTAGCCAAATCTGAACTTTAAATAATGGTCATAAATCAGATAGATTTTAATTTAAAAAGTACCTGTATATAGAAAAATAATGTAGAAAAATAAATTACTGCTAGCATTCTAAAGGCTAACAATTTAATACATTTTAAAAACCAGATAGTTATACAAGAAAAATGGTTAGGCCTAAATAGGATTGTCCTTGTATGGGCATGTGCATGTATGGGCCTACTGCAGTGTTCATTACTACTTATGTTCTTATTATCTCTTGGATTCACAATTTTAGCTAATGACCTCTTTTCCCCATTTCCTTTTAGTTTAATGAGGCTGTTCATGTCTATCTTGTCCATTCCCCTCAGTTTGTTGTACATTATGATCATATTCCCTCTGCTCTTTTGCTTCTCAAAGATTGTTAGGTTGAATGTTTTTATCTGATCCTCTTAGATTAGTCCTGACACTTCAGGTGCGTGTTTTGTGGCAGGGATATTTCCCTGCATTGATAAATATAGAATTTGACAAGTTTGGGCCTGGAGCAGAGTGCATGAGCATGCTGTCTATGGCTACTTCAAAGTCCAGTCGGGGTAGAGTAAAATCTGATATGTGGTTCAATGTTGGTGTCACATTCATAAAGAATTCGCTTGGATTATTGACCTTCAATGTGTTTGGGGGTTCATTGAAAACCTAGACTTGACTGAAATCCTAAGATGCTTTGGAGATGGAACCAGGGATGAAAAGACCAGAAGCAGGCTGAACCACACCCACAGGGGAAGGAAGAAGAGGCACAGACTTAAGTCCAGGTGGAGATCACCAACACTTCCAATTCCAGGTCCTTAAACACCTAAGGGACCAACTCTGGGGCATCCAGATGATCAATATGTCATGACTGCCTTACATGAGCAAACTTAGCTCACAAAGTGGCAGCAGCCTGAAAAGCTTCCAAACTCGAAGATAAATCAGTAAAGGCAAAGACCCAGTGAGAACACACCTCACATGATTCAGGGTCATAGGTGTCAACGACCCAGCAGGCAGTATCGCAGTGACAGAAAGAATGATCATTGTTAGGTAGCAAAGATGATGAAAACCCTTCAAGCTTGCATTTGGTGAGCATGGGCTTGATGGGCTGATCCATAATGGATCAGGTCAAAGACCCATGAGGGGATTATCAGGGCTTGAAGGCAGCTTACTAGCAAAAATCCAAGGTGCCAGGTCCACCCATTGCAATAATAATCACCAAAAATATAGCTAAAACAACCAGGCTATGAATGGTGACTGTGGTGCAATATAAAAACTGCATGCAAACCAGTGCACCCCACCACACACAAAACACCCCACCCAAAGTGAATAATCAGAGGAATCAAAGGATTTGTGAATAGCCAAAGGAAAGGCTTTCCACCCAAATGTCCTGGCCTCTCAGGGGGCAATCTCCCAAACACACTAGAGAAGATAACTGACCATGCAAGGTCAGCATGAGCAGTCACCAAGGTAAGAAAACCCATAGTACATGCAGCCCAAAACATGAGAAGCTGGATAGAAAACATAGATGTGAAGCTAACACTAAAACATGGAACACAACAAGTAAATAGCTCCTGCAGGACAGTCCAAAGATGGCTGGCACGTAGCTTAAAGCAAAGGGGTTTGCCCATAACTGGCAGACTGCAGCACTACTGGTGGAACCTTACACCATAACATCAGCAACAGAACTGACTGGTCAGGGGAGTGTATGGGGTGGGTTGTTGTTAAAGATTCGCTACCTGGAACAAGAAGTTCCAAGAAGCACGGGCTATGGTGAGCCCGTAGTGGATTATGGAGTGGGGCCAGCCCAACTGGTGGTAGTGGTGATCACCCTACAGTAATGAATTTTGAACTAGTTTGAGTGCATCCCTCATTACGTGTGAATTGTTTGTGGAGTCATTTGGCTGTTTTGTGGCTTCATTTTCTGTGAACCCTCCAGTTGTCTGTAAAGCTTCACTGACTTTCTAGATGCTTTTCCAATGGGGGTGACATGTCACTTGCCCTCTGCACCTCTGTAAGGGAAGGGGGGGCCAGGTTCTGGCTTTGGTCTCTGGTAGGCTATACACAACTTCCACAACTGATGTGACCTCTCAGTTTGGAGCACTCTCAGCAAGAAAGCTTCAGGGAGTCACTGGGGAACTTCCCCAGAAACACACTACTGTACATGAAATTTGAAGGCTCAATTTCATCAATCACAAAGACTATTTATATATTGTACTGTATTATATACAAATATTAACAAATTATGTACTTGTAAGAGCAAATATATACCTCCTTATTGTAATCAGCTCGAGTGGGCCGGCCTATTGTGTTGGTGCTCATGGTACCCGCATGAGGCATCTGGGGGGCCATCGGGCCATGAAGATCTACCACAGTTTAACCATGGCCAATTTAACCTGGAAGAAAGGTTATTATTTAATGATTTGCCAAAAATAATAAATATACAATATTATAATAGCTGAAAGTTGCTAATTAAATCTAGAGAAACTGGCATCTGGATAGGCAGAACTCCAAACAGGGCCCCAGGGTCATGTTGAAAATGAATATTAACTTCTTAAAGTATGCTAATCCACCACACTAAAATAATTCTTAAAAGATACACTAATAGGGGAAATAGAAAGATGCCAACATAGAACTGTTATTGTTATTACAGTGCTTGTTATTGAGAATGCAGATTTATAAAATATTTTATTCTTTACTCAACTGTACTTTTCAATGCAGACGAATGCAGAGACTTTGTTAAATGAGTAAGAAATAGATTTCCAAATTAAGCTTTTAAAATAAATTTTTATTTTAATACTTTACAGTAGCTACTATGTATGCATTCTTATGTACCCTATTAAAACATATTCATCTTTATTAGTATTAAAGACAATTAACATCTTCATTCTAAGATTTAAAATATATTTTGTCAGATACACAAAGTTCCTCATAACTGAATAAATGTAAGAGTAATGTGTGCACAAAAACTGTTTTTGAAGTATGTACTATAATACATTCACTATATCTTTTTGTATACTACAGTATATGCACTAATACAATAAATTACTGTACAGAAATATGGAGCAATGGTTGTAATTTTTATAAGGCCCAAACAATGTACTGCAGTTTGAGTACATTTAAATCTAAACACTGAAAAAAACACATTATTATTATTTATTATTATTATTATTATAGGCTAAATATGCACAGGGATCTTGTACAGTGTGTAATTATTCTAGTAGAGGTAACTTATATGCACATACATAATATAAAATATGGTAGAAATTATAATATTAAAGCAAAGTACATCAGGTCTAAAAGTTGTATCTGAATATCATACTGTAATTTACATTGCTATACAGTAATGTAGAATTGAAGATAAATGCTGTAACCAAAATTTGGTATACTAAATAACCCATACGCAACTTGTTACTTAAAGAATGCATTAACACTGTATAGGTAACCTGTATAGCAAGCCATATTAAAAATAATTCCTAACTGTAAGGTATGTCTCACTCTAAATTTCAGCTACTGTATGCAGTATGTTATAAAGTTTATGGTTCACACTTAAATTTGTTACAGCTGTAGTCCTTATAAATCCATCCAGAAGTGTAACGACTTTAATAAATTATACGACAATACTGTAGTTAGAAATTTTCAGCCGCTTGATAAATTTAATTATATTTCAGTTTGCAACATCCGAGTCTAAACCCCATTAGCAGAAACCACAACAGCATAGAACTGCATTTGCTTCCATCAAATTTCCTGACTGATGGGTGTGGAACAGGATGATCAACAGATACAGTAGTTTTAAATTAAAATAATAGTTAAAAAAACAGCTCAAACTTGTACAAAAAGGTCTGTAAGCATTTTTAATGCCCCTGGCTCCTAAACCTCACCCCCACCCCCTGGGGGCACAAAGCCTCGTCTGCCCCCTGGGGGCACAAAGCCTCGTCTGCCCCCTGGGGGCACAAAGCCTCGTCTGCCCCCTGGGGGCACAAAGCCTTGTCCCCCAGGGAATACAAAGTCTCATCCCCCAGGCCCGGGGCCAGGCTTGACTTGTGGGAGCTTGGTCTACTAGGCTGTTGCTTGAAGTGGCCCACAGGCCCACATATCTGCCACAGCCCAGTTGATCCTGGCATTTCTTGAAGAAAACTATCTAGTTTTCTCTTGAAGATGTCCACGGTTGTTACATGTAGTATATATATGTCATCTCTGAATGTTATAACAGGACAGAATGCAAAACTAAAGATCCAAAATAAATGTAAATAACAATTTGAAGTACAGCAAGGGAAAACAAGAAATGCTATTTATGTTCAATACAAAATTAGGTAATGTAGTCCTACTGTAAATAAAAGTACAATTTGTAGTTAAGATTTAATAACTTGCAAACACATTTACCATTAAATTATATAGGAGTAAAGTACTACTGAATGAACTTTGTATTTGCTGATTAAATAACATTCCTCAGTGATTAGATTACATCACAGAGTCTTTGTCATCGACAAGGTCATTATTTTTTCCTGGCCCATCAGTGATTATGCATATTTATATCCACAAAATTTATGATAAAACCTTAAATATTGGTTTTGTTCTTTAGAATGCAATCTCTTCAATATACTTGACAATAATCAAGAAGAAATTATCATTGTTCTGTACCTTAAGTAAATTGATGATACACAGATTACCAAGTCAAACAAAGATCATTAGGTTTAACAATGTACATTAGTTCAGCATGAGAGCAGTGTTATGTCCTCTAGTCATGAGAAAAACATGAAAGTCCAATTGACAAGTAAGTTACAGGTTTAAAAGAGCAAGACAAGGTCTTCACAGATATACTACAAGATATATTAGCTGTAACATACATGGCAGAGTTGGTAGGGATGTATGGTTCATAGGCCAAGTCAACTCCCATCCCCCTCCCAAAAGATGTTAAATAACAAAATGTATAACAATGAAGTCCTCCACAATTAAAAAAGATAGAGATATTATTATAATCAAATTATGAAATAAAATTTATAAGCGCTTATTTAACCACGAGGTGCACGACAGTAAATACATTTGTTTACCGGTTAACTTTACCTATGTACAGTACTCAATGAATTTGACCCAAGGGGAATTATGAAATGTTTTCAAATTTCTTGTTTAAATTGTAACTATGTTTAATCTTTAGCACAGACACTTTGTGATGAACAAAATCAAGGACAATACAGTGCCCACATAGCTGTCTATCACACCTTCCCTGAGTGTGCTGGAATAAGAACAATGTAGGTAATGGTGTTTATGTGATAAATTGTAATGATTGCAATTTATCATATGTTGGAGACTTTTTTTTAATAAACCACAAATAAGAGTTGATGAACCCAAAAAAGCAATAACAAGATTTGATAAGAATTTGATGCCATTGCTAACCATTATTGGGATTTTAATCATAGGATGGATTTTAATAATAGTAGAATTGTATACAACTGCTCAAATGTCAGAGAGATGCCTAACAGAAGGAGTAATTACATATTCTATAGACAATATAGGGCAATAAATCTTTTAGTAAAGTAGATCTGATTAACCATAAAGTTATTCTTAAGGAAGTAAAATTAACCTAACTCATTACTTCATATAAGCATAAACCTTGTGGTGTTCAGAGCGGAAACATGGCTCCACACATCCCTGCCCACAGTTTCCAGAAATTAGAATTAAGCATTCTTGTGAAAATTCAACATCCCTTGGCAAGTCTCTGGAAAGCATAATCATGACAATGTCTAATGATGGATGCCAAGTGTGGCTCTCTGCCAGACATATAAATGCAAACTCCTAGAATTTTGTTCAGAACATTGTTTATGGCACCTGTAGAGAGGATGTAGATCAAATCCAAAAATTTGCTTTTTAATACACATTTATTGGGTCTTTCCTTCACCTTCATTCAAGCACTACAGCATTGTAGTAAGTTTCTCCGTGAAAATGTATTTTGTAGTCGGACTGGACAGACCCATCCGTTGGGGAGCCGGTTGGCCAAGCGGACAGCACGAGCACGCTAGACTTGTGGTCCTGGGTTCGATCCCAGGTGCCGGCGAAAAACAATGGGCAGAGTTTCTTTCACCCTATGCTCCTGTTACCTAGCAGTAAAATAGGTACCTGGGTGTTAGTCAGCTGTCACGGGCTGGTTCCTGGGGGTGGAGGCCTGGTCGAGGACCGGGCCGCGGAGACACTACAGCCCCGAAATCCTCTTAATTATTCTACCTCCTATTCAATTATTCTATAACCTCAAGAAGATAGTCTACCAGTATGGATGTAATGTTGTACATTTCAGCTCAACTGAGCATAATTTTTGTTGTTGATAATGCAGCAATACATAATTACTAATATTCTGTAAAGGGAAAACTACATACAAGATACCAGTATGATGTTTTATCATCGCAAAATAGTAATATTACTGAACAAGTAAAAAAATTAATCTGATACCACAATATCTGGAGTACAACTCTGTTTTCTTATCCAGTTAAATGTATATGTTTTACTTTATTTTAAGCAAATGAGTAATAATATGCAGAAAATGTTAATCCAACACTGCAGCAGGATAGGTGCTTGGGCATGTTTCCTTTCACCTGATGCCTCTCTTCAGCTAGCAGTAAACTGGTAACCAGAAGTTAGGCAAATGTTGTGGGTTACACCCCAAGGAAGAACTCAAGGAATGGGTTCTGTGCCCATGGACAGAACCCATCCTGGGTTCTGTGCTACTGGACACACCCATTCGGGGTTCTGTGCCCATGGACAGACCCATCTGGGCATCCCCAATATTGTACATACATCTGCCTACCTGCATTTAATACTAGATATAGAACTACCAGACCTCAACAGTGTACATTAGCTAAACAAAAATTTAATATAAATTTATTGGTAAATAATCAGTAATTGTGTTTCATAGAAAAGCATACCCTGTATTGTAATTGTGAAATCTTTTATACTACTTTATTAATAAATTAGAAATACTGTAACATGAAATTTATTCAAATGGTGGAGTTTGCGTGAACCCTTCGTGTAGGAGGTTGTTTACCTCTGTAACTACAGGAAATTCCAGCACTCACGCACAATCAACATTCTTCTTTAGAAATCTCAGGAAATCTATCTTTTGTGTCACCTTCAAGACCCACATCAATTTTGAAGTAAGGTGATAGTTGTTTGTTTCACATTATACAGTACACAACACTAACAAGAATTCTTGCTTCGTCAGAAACCACATTTCATAATCTCAAGTAATATAAGAGCATGCTTTCCATGTAAAAATATTGATCAGCAAATTTCTATAACTTTGTTGTATAATTAGTTTGTCAATTATCTTTCAATTGATCATTCTAATTTTAAACTAAATATTTAGCCAATAAAATTCTCACCACTAATTGTAAACAATACCTTTTAC